GGGAATGGGGATGGGGACGGGGATGGGGATGAGGACGGGGATGGGGGTGAGGATGGGGATGGGGACAGGCTATGCTAGCTCCCACCATGGGCCGGGAAAGGAGGTGCTTGCAGGAATTGATCCCTGTAATCGCTTCCATGTGCCTCAGCAGAGCCTTTGGCTGGGGGGGGGGTTAGCTCTTCTCATAGCTTGGGCATAAAAAAAATCAATAGGCATTTACTTGATGGTGTTTTGTGCAGAAACAGATGTCCTGAAGTTGGAGGAGGTGGAGGATGCTCTGCGGGACGGGGCTGGGGAGGGATCCAGCCGGACCCAGAAGCCTCCCCCACCACAGACACTCGCAACTCCCTCTGCTAAACCGGGCAAACCAGGACAAACGACTCACTGCCCGGCAACCCCTCGCCGTGCTCCTGCCAGATGTGACTGCCGGGGTGGGGGCGGCAACCCCCTGCCCTGCTGAAGGCTCGCCTTCGCCCTGGGCTCCCAGCGAGGAGGAGGAAGGGCAGGCGAATCCCTGGTGCGGAGGCCGTTTTGGGCAGGAAATCCCGGCAGCCTCTTCCCCGAGGCCTGGCAGCCCCGGGATCGCTGAGCCGCTGCGGCCGGCGGAGATAAGGGAAGCAGCAGGAAACGTGCATCTCTCCTGGGGTGGCCGGGAAAGGAAACTTGATTCCCGGTGACCGGAGCGGGGCTGGGGGGCTGCAGCAGAAAGCAAGGGTTCGCAGGATGCACCGGGGCCATTCGGTGCTTTGGGATGTAAGGCAGGAGCAGGGGTGGTGTGGGGTTAGGGTAAGAGCGGGGCTTCGGCCGGCTCCGGTGCGGACTCGGTCGGCGGCGTCCCGTTGCCAGCCGAGTTAGTGGGTCACCATAATAATGCCCTCGGAGCGTTTCTCCTCCTGGTTATCGGAAACCAGTCCCGCTTGGGGTCGAGCTATTTGGCAGGAAGGGCAACAAATTCATGCCTTAAACATCCTTCTGGTTCTGGTAGGAAAGGGCTCTCGCAGGGAAGGGGGTGTGCACATCTCAGCGCCCTGAATCAGCACGCATAAGATTTTTGGCCTCATTGTCCTAAGAAAAAGAGATGTCTATGGGTTGGTTTTTTTCCCCTCCTTAATAACTGGAATCTGCTGGCTAATTTCAGCCAAAGCTGACAGTAGCATCTCTGAGGGTCTGTAAAACCAGAGAGAAGAAAGAGAGACCCTCTTAGTTGCCCCCTTGCCTGAGAAGGTGGGCACAGCCTTGGGTTTGAGCTCGACCCTTACAAGCCATCTGAGAATCCACAACAGGTGCACGGCTGGGGTGAGCCCCGCTTGCCGTCCTGCCGCCGCGGGGACAACCTCTGCGTTGTGCCGGGTGGCCATGCCCCTCCCGTGGGGTGGCTCTGCTTCCTCTCGGGCCACGTCGAGGTGTCTCTCCGGGTGGCTCCATTCATGGAACCATAAATCCCGGCTGGGCTCGCTGCCTTCCCCGTGGCCGTTTCCTTTCCCGGGAGCATCCCGCCGGGTGCTGACAGCAGGGAAGCTGCAGCAGCGGGGCAGATTCCCACCAGCGCAGGACCCAGCTCTCGACATTTCCATTTTTGGGAACGGTTCTCACTGACTTTGGTCTCGCTTCTTTGAATCGGCTTCGCCTCATGACTCACCACCTTCTCGCCTTGGCCCACCGCTCCCGTGCACAGGGACACCCTTCCCCAGCAAGCCCGGACCAGGAGGTACATCGGGACTTGCTCAAGTGCATCCTTGAGGATGCACATGTTGCCCGGGTGGGTCTGGAGGCCACCAGCCCCAAGCAGCAAGAGCACCCACCGGACACCCAGCGATCCCAAGCCACCCGGCCGTACCCAGGGTTTCTGGCCTGGGCACGGCAGTCTGCAGCGCCTGGGAGGGTGTCCACCCACGCTGCAGGTGATTCCCACACGCAGGGTCCATCCCACACGCTCCAGCTGTGACCCAGCACAGATCTTTCCGCTCAGGGCATCAAACGTGTATTGGGAGAGAGGTTGTCCTTACGGAGAGCTGGGAAGACGGGGTGCTGGATCACAGGTGGGTCCATAATATGGAAAACCAAGGTTTTTATAGAAAGAGAGGAGGACTTCTTGGCCCTGAGCAACGGCCGGAGTGGAAGTGTGGGAAAGCGGCTCGGCGTATGGAGAGGAGAAATAATTAAGGCACTACCCTAAAAAGCGAGATAGCAAGCGCTGAGCCCTCCCAGTGGGAAAGGTAGCGGAGCTCAGATCTCCCAGCACCCCGGGGACCCGGAGACTCACCACGTGGAAAAGCTTCCCGAGGCATCTGAGCCCCAGCGCAAAGGATTGCTCCAGGTTTTAGAAAGTATTTTAAGACATAAAGGTAAAGAATTTTTATTTTTTTTAACCTCTGGGGCTCTCCTTCCTTCCTTCCTCTCTCTAAATATTGCCACAAGGTTGTTTTTGGTACCACAGCTGCCGGACGAGCGTGCCGAGCCCTGCGAGCCCCCCGCGCTGCCAGCATGCCGGGAGCTCGGCGCAGAGCTCGCAGGGAGCTAGCGAGCGCGCCTGACACTGATTCCTGTGCACCGTTCCCCCAAGAGTAGCCACAAGTTCCTTATTTGGTCCGGGCTCCAGCAAACTCTCTGGCAGAGGGGATTTCATCTGCCATGGAGATCAGCCCAGACGGGTCTGTCCTCCATACGTGCTGGGGCTGGGAGCATCCGCAGGGGCGGCAGGGAGGGAGTATGTTAAGAGCAAAGATAAAATCAGCCCATCGGTGTGGCTGTGCCCTGTGTTCCCAGAGGTTCTCGTGTTTTTCTCTGCAGCACAAAACACAGCAGGGACGGATTGCCTCTCCCCATCACCCTCCGCAGCAGGTCCGGTCCGGTCCAACCCCATCCCCATCCCAGGGCTCTGGCCCTGGACGTGCACCGGGCTGAGCTGATGCAGCTTTGAGACACTTCCCTGGGTGTTTATACCCTGACTCAAGAGTCCTCTGCAGAATTAGGCTTTATTTGCTGTATGAACTAGGTGTCCCTGGGACCACCCCAGCTGGGGGTGGGCAGGGAGTCCCGGGGGGGAGCTGGGACCCTTTGGTTTGCCCTGGGAGCACCACCAGAGATGGGGTCCGGGTCCTGGTCACCCCTCGCTCTTCGCCCAAACAGCCCTTCCCATGGATCTAACAAACCCAAGGCTCTCCCCAAAACCTCTCTCCAGCTCATCTCTCCTCGCCTGACCTCCTCGGGCCTCCAGCCCTGACCCCTGCAGCACCCGAACGCTCCGGGGTGACTAATCCCAGCAATTAGCCTCGTTCCCTGCGTTTATCTGCTTCCTGCCTTTGTCTCCCCCTGACAGCCTCTCCGAGCAAATATGCTTTTAGCCACATTTTCCTGGCTCCGGCTTTCCCGCCAGCCTTTGTCCCGCGGAGCCTCTCCGAGCTGGGTGAAGAGGTTATTCTCCCCGACACGTGTCCCTTCCGTCTGCTGTGATCAAACCGGTGACCAAAAAAAAAAGCACCCAGCAGCGTCGAGGTCACCCCGGCCCCCGGCAGCGGACAGGCCAGCTCAAACTGGAGGCAATAGGATTTGTTCTTTAAATTGAAGACTGCTGCGGACCCAGGGGCGTTTCATGCTAAAAGGGATTTTAGGGCTGAGCGATCCAGCTAAATGGGGACAGAGTGCTCGGGCTAGCCTAAAATTCAATGGGTAATAGCGAAACACATGGGCAGCACATTTGGGAGCCGTCTTCTCCCGTTCCTCGGGACAGGCTGCGCATCCGCAGCGGAGCTCTGCGGACCCACCGAGCTTCAGAGGGACGTAAGCTCTCACATGTAGGCTTGACCAGCTTCCCGTGCCTAAAGGAGCAAGCCACGCTGCTTTAATTTAACTCCCTTTTTTTTTGTTTCCTTTTCTTTTTTTTTTTTCACTTCAGGATCCATCTCCCCTTAAAGTGAGCTTCAAAACCTACCAGGATATTTCCCCACAGAGGTACGGGCTGCTCTGCAGCGGGTCTAACCCTGCCGAGGGCCGTCTCGCTTTGCTTGAGACGCTTCTCAGGGCGTTTCGCCCCGATGCGGGTCCCTTCCCCGCAGCAGCTGGGGTGCTCCGACGGGTGAGCCCAGGCGGGGGGGCTCACCTCCGGCCTGGGGTCCCCATGGAGAGTGGGAACACGAGGCTCAGACAAGAATTGAGGGGTTTCTCGTACAACGCTAAACGGGACGCTGCACTGAAGGAGCTGCAGCTGCAGAATAACTCGTCGGTGGATGCAGCTCCCAGGGTGATAGTCCTCACCCCTTCGCGGTCAGTCTCCGAGCAAAGTAAACCCCTTGGCTGACCCCGGGCCGGGCTTAGCTGTAGCTGAGCGGAGCCTCTGAAACACCCCCAATTTAAAGGGGAAAAAAAAAAAAAAA